GCATTAATAATGGTATTTGCTGATGCCTTCTTTCAAGATATGATTTTCAGCGTTTCAGACTCTTAGCACCGCAGCGAGACGAATTACCGGCAACCGTTCCTACGCATCTTCTGGATATCTTCAGCAAATAACAGAAATGCTTAGCCTTCAAATGGTATACATTAGCTTACGACTCTGGCATGTACGGTTCATTTAATCTAACTTTTGGTATATTCCACAATATTTCGCAATTCTTCTTCAACTGATCAGCATAGGTGTGTTCCATGGTCACTAATAGCTTAGGGTGCTAGTATCAAAAGCATTATAATCTTAGCAAATCCGCCAAGAACATATCTAGTCAGGCTTAATCATACTTTCCATAAGTTAAACAATTGGATTGGATCCTACATGCCTACAAAAAACAGTATTTTATGGAAGGCTATAAGCGTAAAAAAATTTCAAAAAAATGCTGATGTTAGCGCTTCCTATAACTATTTGAAATGCTGGGGAGACCTTTTGTACTGCACTTAAATGCTGATCTGCTCCTCTGGGTACGAAAACTCGACTTTTTCGCGCACACTATTTTTTGGTAGCCTTTTTTTGGCTTGTTTCGCTATAAGCGGAGCTCGTATGGTTTCAACACTCTTTTACAAGATCATCAGATTCTACGGCTTTACAGGTGGTATCCAATGGCACCAAAAATTGCATATTTCAACTTTAGTTAGTGTGAAGGTCTTGCGAAGAAATTATAACCAAGTTGTTGTGAGTCAACTTCTACTATGAGATTTACTTAATCACTCTGGGTTAACAAAAAAGCCAGCTATGATCACAGTTGAAAGCCATAAGTGTCATAATCTTTGAAAATTAAACCCCTGTCAATTTTATTTTGGTTTTGCCATGCAAACAGATGCGAGTGCCTGTTTACGGAAGTTTTCCAATTTCCATCAATTTTAGGAAAAAATGTTTACAACCTAATTATGGGTTTTTCCCGTCAAAAAGGATACTTTCTCACAGCTTTTCGTATCGGGGAACCAGCATCAAAATATTAGATTCAATGGGCATCCCCTCATGAACGTCTATAATGGAAAAAGGAGAGGTGGAACGTCTAATTCTATGCAAAATAGTATTCGCGAAAATAAATTTTACAATTTTTGTTACAGTTTTTCCTGCCTTATTATTCATGGTACTTTCAGATGATATGGATCGTAGGTTCTTCCATACCTATATTGGGTTAATAAGGAGAGCAAATAAAAAGATCTTCGATAACCTCGGGGTTGGAAAAACAAGAAATTGCAAGCAGTGAAGTGGCACAGTCCAAAGGGCGCATGGACATGGCATGAGGTCTTCCCCAAAAATTAGCGCTGGAATGCTAGCTAAATCCAGATACCTACCAGACATGATAGTGGTGCACTGTGCGGCATACTCTTAATAATAGGTAAAAAAAGGTGTCTTAGGCAAAAAATATTAAAATGACCTTTTTCAAGATCTCGTTACTAGCAGGCCCGACAACCACGTGTAGTATGGTCGAGCATTTTGAGTCAAGACTCAAATTGGCATTCTGATGCGCCAGTTTATCTGTGGTGGAAAAAGGCAGAAGAAAATGCTGTAAAACCGTCTCCGTTTCTTGCTAACGTCTTAAGCGGTCGGGGTGGGCGTGTGGCTAAAACATTGCTGAAAATCAACTTGCAGATACCGTCTCTGCTTTGCTTTCGTATATGTATTGTGTGGCATTGTTAAAATCACCAAATTCGGCTTGGGACATCTTCAATATCATCTTACAAGAACTTATGTGAGATCTTTTAGACTAGCAAAACAAATATGCAATAAAGGCCGTGTTCGATGTAATCCAAATATATTGGTTAAGAATTTATGTCTCATAAAATTATCATATGGGCCTCAATACATCAGTGCACTCGGTGGGCATATTTTAAGTATAACATTTTTTTCTAAAACACGACCAATGATTCTAGTGTATTTTATTTCACACTTACTTATATTTATCATCTCATTTATTTGGAGAACCTCTGGAGCATTTTTTCGCAGCCCGTTTCTCCTATAGTATAATTATGCAGTTACCTTCCCTTGAAGTTATTGCTGATAGTTTAAGACTTAATTTTCATAGTTTTCAGCATTTATTGGCGCTGCTATGTTCATCTATGCATTTTGGCTAGAGTCATTTTTCTCATTGTCTCATTTTATAATTAACATTCAGTTTAATTTGGAATTTAGATTCTTTTTCATTTAAATTTGTCGTATATTAAAGTCACGGCCTTATTCCAAAAATATATGTGTTTATTGTTGTTATAGTTCTTAAAGAAAAATTCGAGCTTTTGTTATAGTGAAATGACAAACATATATCATATTGGTCACCTTATTAAATTGAAAGACATGTTTTCGACCGAGAGTAGTTTAGTTCGAAACATTTTGATTACCAAAACTGTGTCTGCTAAAACCTTGTCGAGTCTGCGAATACTTGAAGCTATTCGAAACCAATTTTGATATATTGCCCAACCGTATCTGATATTTCGAACCATTTTGATAATTACCAAAGCTATCGTCTGCTACTACTGTATATATCTGTATCGAACCATTTGATTTACAACAAAACTGTGGTCGGCTGAGAATTTTGTTCCGAACAAAAATTTGATCATTACCAAAGCTGTCGTCCTTAGCAGCTAATGGAAAATTGGTTATACCAATCTACTTATCACCAACCTCTGTCAGCTTGCTATTACTTTACCAAGTTTGTTGAAGTCACTTCGACTTCACTTATCAAAATGTCGTCTGCTATTACTTTGGACGAAGGCTATCGCTACCTTTACAAATTAAACACAAATGAGACGCTTCACACGCAAAAACCAACATAGAATTGGGTTTGCGACCAGCAATGGATCCAGACCAATATCGCCGCATACCGACGCATAGTCTGATCAGGATCCATGCTGTTTCGCTTACAGACCCTAAAAACAAGTTAAGAAACTGATAGCGAACAGCATTGGATCCTGATCAGACTGCAGGCTGGTCTGGGATCCCATGCTGGTCGCAAACCCATTATGTTGGGTTTTGTCGTGACGCGGCTCAAATATATTTTATTTAATAATTATTTTATTGCAAACATATAAATACATGTAAATATGATAACATACAAAAAAAAACAAAAACAAATTAATATAAGAGTATAGTGCAAATGGATGGGGCTACAAAGTTATTACAACATTTTGCAAACACCTTCCCAAAAGTCAAACTTTTATAATACATTATACATTCCGGATAGTTTCATAAGAATAGTTATACAAGTGGAAGTGAGAAAAAAATCAAACGCGCACGCACACACGCACACACACACATATTTATATATTTCTTATAAGTTATCAATTAAAATGCTCCATAGAATTAAGATAGAACAGGGCCGTTCAAATAGAAATAAATATATTAGCTACCGCAGAAGACTTCATCAACATGTTGTTTTGAAGAAAAAAATACATACAAATAAAAAAAGTTCATACGGAGACAAAAATATTGAACATTTCTCAGAAACAGTCTTAAAACAGGCGTGAAGCGTTGTAATCGGCTCACTATTTCGGTGTTGAAGGACTATCGTCTTTTGTTTCCACAACACAAGTGTCATTTCTATGTTTTTCATATGTGTAAATGGCGGAAATGAAAACAACATTTTTTTCATAAAAGTATTTTCTTTATATGTTGAATCAATCAGTTAAATAAAACTGTCCATCAAAGCAATCTTGTCATCAAAATTTAAAGTTGTATTTTCAGGAATGTTTTTTAAGCAGCCGAAAAAAATTAAAATAAAATAATAAACTTCATAAAACTGCTTATTGAAGTTATTTCGTTGCTGATTTAAGAAACTTGACGTTTTGAATTTCATCACTGAATTTTTCAAGAAATTCCCAGGATCAAGATTAATTAAAATTGTATAAACGGGAGTTCGTATCGCTATTACCTTTCATAATTGATTCATAAAATGTATCGCCGATATCGCTCAAAGATGTATCGCAGTTCAAGCACAAAAAGGTCAATCGCCGATATCGCTCAAAGATTAACCGTCGATATCGCTCAAAGATGTAGCGATCAAGATATATCGTGACTGACGCTCCAAGATTGGTCGTCGCTGGCCAACAAATATGTACCGCCTTGATCGCTCAGAGGTGTATCGCCGTTCAAGCACAAACATTTTTATTGCCGATATTGCTAAAAGATGTATCGCCGATATTGCTTAAACATATATCGACACTGCCGATCAAAGATAAATCGCCGATATCGCTCAATGATGTTTTGTCGCTGACGTTCAAAGATGTACATCCGTTCAAGCACAAAAAGATGTGTCGCCGATATTGCTCAAAGATGTATAGCAAATATCGTTTAAACAAATATCGTCACTGCCGATTAGAGACGTATCGCCGTTTAGCGCAAAAATGTACCGTCGCTGAAGCTTTAATTATTTTGAAGACGTGTTGGATAGTTCCCAATTTTTACATTATTTACCTCCCGGTCAATATCCTTTATACAATGTACCATACACAAAATAAGACAAAATTAATATACATATGCAGTAAGATATTATCTTAGCACCAACATTTTAAAGAGTTTTATCAGTTTTCATGAAGATCATAGAATTATGAAAGGTTTTATCCTTTAAAAGCATATGAAATATAAGAAAGTACACCCCCAACCCCCCTCCCCCTAATGTATGGCAGAAGGGGAAAGTAATAATTGCTATGTACAGTCAGTAAATGATTATCTCCACATCACTCCTTATTATTCAAACAAGCTATAGAAATTTTGAATCAACATTTTCTCATGCCTTAACAATAGATAGAAAAGTGTTTCTTGATAACGCATAACTTAAAATGATATTTGCTGATATTTACCATTTTTCTTCGATGCGTTCTTTATTTTCAGTACTATATCTTTTTCAATATCTTAACGTATTTTTTTGATTGTCTTCTTTGTTGCTAATTGTATTTCAACAACAAAGTACTTAAAGCTGTGGACGCTGCTGCCTCAGATAGAAGTAAAGTCTTCAGCCAGTATGCACACAACAGAAGAAAAAGCCTAGTGGAAATTAATACAAGGTTTGGTTTTATAATATTGTTTATATCAAAATTATAATATTTTGTTACTTTTTTTTGCTAAATATAAAATTATGATAGATATGTAGGCATGTAAGTTTGGTTTTATTTGTAACTTGGTAAAAAAATGTTTACAAAATTTTGTTTTCAAGTCATGATTTAAATTATGCCATTGCTATAAGGTTGTATGAAAATTATCTAGACATAACGGTTTGATATATACCAAAATTGAATATTTCTTTGAAATATTTAAATTTAGTTATGAATTATGATTTATCCGCTTTAAAATTGCGTGTTACAGAGATATTTAAGCAATTGGATTACGAACATTTTTGTCAATTTTTTAGACCAAAGTTGTTATCACCTCCCCCTTTCCCGTTAAAAATAGTTGAATACAGAATTTAAGTATACCTTTTTAAGAAACTATAGTTAAAAGAACACTCCAAAAACCCTAACTGGGAAACCCAAACCCGGTCTGGCAAAAGCTTTTAATTTTTTGCTAAATAACAAGTTTTCCCTGACGGGGGTTAACTCATAGTAAATGTTTTTAAACCCATTTTTTAGAAAAAAAAAAGTTTCTTTTTTTAAATTAAACTGCCAGTTTTTCCTTTTTTCCAAAGGAATTTTTTATATGGGAATTTTTTTTTTTACACTTTTTTAATGTAGAATAAATAAAAAAAAAACCAGTTTTTAATATTAAAAAAAAATTTAAAAAAATATAAAATATTTAAAAATTTCCCATTTTCTCCCAAACAGTTTTATTTCTTTTGTGTTAAAATCTTTGCCGCCAAAGAAGTTTAAACACTAAATTGTTGTTAAAATGTTCACTTAATTAAAAAAAGACTAACTTAGTGTCGACAAATGATTTTAACACTAAGAAATATAACCGTTTCGGGAAGCAACTTAAATCAATTTAAGATTAATAACTTTTCAATATTTTATATTAAGTGAACAATTTAACAACAATTAAGAACTCGCGGTCGCTCCCCTTTTTGGTTATTAATTGTTAGAATTTCACTTAATAAACACCAATATTTACAATGTACATAACTGATGCGGTGTAAGTTAGTAGCGACAAAAATATTTTTAAAATAACAGACTCTTAATATTCTCAAAAGGTGTGCAGAAATACTCAAGAACAAACGGCTGGTAGCTGCAGACTCCTACAGACAAACAGACACAGGTAAGTTTGTAAACTGACCGATGTTTCATGTCCGCATTACATAAGTTAAAGATATATCTTGCTCAATTTTGTTATTTAAATATGTTGATATTTGCTACACAGCGTCTTTGCAAATATATATAAAAACATGTTTTGACTGCACACGGTGTAGGTATGTTACGCTAAAGGTCCACACTATGAATATTTAGTGTCATTAAAGAAATTAAAGATGTTGCACTTTAATATTATCATCTATCATGAACGAACCCAATTAAACCGTGTCTGCGATTTACATATACTAGTTTCACTACTTGCGATTGAGGGGTTACCGTTACGGGTTGAGATATGAGAATTGCAGCCACCGTTTAAAATATGATAAACAAGGCGGCGTTCAATGAACGCAACCCTTCGTGATCGTAAGAGGCGACTGAATGGTCCATTGGAGTATATGCATCAGGCGAGGTTTTGACCCCTGGTATTGCTTAAAACTTGTAACAATATAGGTTAGCCGAAACCATCTTTCCTAGATGACCTTAACTGTGTTAGAGCACCGGTAAAGCAAACAATATACCAGTAACACTGCGATTTCTTTGCTTCTAAGTCTGAGGTACCCATCCCCCACCCCGTTTTAGATATTTAAAGATATTCTAGTTTACTGAAATTATTTTATTTCAGGACAAACGATTTAATCAAAGATGAACATATACCTTACTGCTCTTTTGACCATATTTCTAACAACATATCTAGTATCAGCAAAGCATGACCGGTGGTGTAGTCCAAACAGCATACCCAGTGGTAAATGCGGACGTCATCTTGATGAACTGTTAGGCACCACTTGTGGACGGGGTGGTTTCTACTCACCTGATTTTTCATCAGACAATTTTCTTCCAGGTAAAATAGGTTTATAGGTTCTTTAGCAGTTTTCATAGCCCATTGTTTTCTGGCTTGTGACACAAGCTTTCTTTAAGATAGGGACCATGACCATATGCCGTTTTCACGGTACTAAAGTGGCACTTTGAAGGTTCCATGATGACCGCCGTATGAAAACATCTGCAGATGTTTTAAATTCCAAATTCCCCTTTTCATCTTTCAAATTTTGAATTCTGTTTAAGCCTATGCTAGGGGTCTTGGATGGTAACTTGGTACTTTCCAGTACCGTCCATGTACAGGCTCAATCAAACCGAGTCTGCAACATTTTTAATTTTGACGTTTTGGGCGATCTTTAAAGGATTCTGTTTTTTCTCTATTCTACAGATAAATAATGACGTGAACCCTACTGTTTTGGTTTATAACTGAATGCGCATGTATTGCCATTTCTGTTAAGTGAATGTTAATTATTTCATAAGAATTAATTTACTTTTTAATTTTGTTAATTAATAAGTGATTTACTTGGCGAAAAGTTATCTTTTCGTCTTTTGTCAAACATTTGTATTTTTGAAAAAAAATCGTAAAGGCAAAAAAATTGAACCATTTTGAAAACAATTGGTCTAGTCTTTGTAAATAAAATGAATTGATTTGTGAAAAATAACTCAGTCATCTTTCACCTCATGATCGCACTAAACTGAGGCCCTTAAACGTTTCCATATATAACATTTATTTTTGACTCCTCAAAACAATTATATCGCTGTGTAAAACAAACTTTAGAGAACCATAGTTTTAAAACTCAACCCGCTCGGGTTAAACTAGATGTTTAATTGTTTTGACAGCGGTGCCGGGGAGCGTGTATTAAATTTTCAGACAAACTGAAACTGCTGCAATATCATATTAGGTATGTTGAGAAACATATTGGTTTAAATTTAAAAATTACACATGGATATAAACGTATTTTTTGTACTGATTGCAGGGAAAAGAAACCCGCTTGGAGAAGTTCTTCTTGGAAAAAGGGAGGCCAATATGTATCTGGAGAAGAGAAGGGACTATTTCTACCAGGGTATCGTCTGCGAGTGTTGTATACACCAGTGTACTATACTGGAATTAAAGTCATATTGTACTTAACGTATGAATTTAAATTTCTATGTGACGTTTTAAAACAATATATCAAAACAATAATCCCAAACATCAGATCAGAAAAAAAACATTTTAAGAAACAAAAAACGCAACTGCACTCATAGCTGTTTACAAAATGTAATATAAACATGTCAAAATTTATATGTGGCATATGATGATATGTTAATGATACACCAGCATTTCCCAGGGATAACATACAAATAAATTGATGAAGAAAATTAATCTTTATTTATTGAAACAGAATGACAGGCTTCGAATACATGCATATATGATATTTGTCTTACATTATGATTACAATCAATACAGTGCGATGTTATTGTAGCAGTTTTATTGGTTAAAGATCCTGTAAATCAATTTTTTATGGTTTTATATCATAAATCTGATGCTCAAATAAAGATTTGTCAATATTGTAAGTACAAAAAAGCATTATTTGTAAAGATATTACCGAATTTACGTTTCATGTAAATAAAGGGAGATAATTAGAAATATATTTTCGATGAAGTCTAAGCTGAATTTTTCAATAAGAAATGAATGCATAGATTTTAATGATTACTCATAATGCTAATAAACATTTACAGTTCATATTTAACATATTCATGGATGTTTGGCAATATTGTTTTAGAAGAATAATTATAAAAATGTACATATATATAATCTCACTAAAGTGTTGTTACATCCTTAATCTTAGAGATATTTTATGATCAAATTTGATATTTGAAAATACTGGTAATTGCTTTATACTCCCTTTTGTAAATGTAAAATAAACATCTTTAAAGAACACACATAGTATATAGATTACGACTTTACACGATATAGGCAAAGACCGTATGAATACATTAAAAAGGACTAAATTAACCTGACCAGTAATAGGGACTGCAGCTTCACAAACATAGTTTATGCAATCTGTTATTTAAGTTAGACATGTTCAGTAAGAATTTTCTAGAATTAAATAAATTTCTGCAATAAAAGTATTTTACACCCAAAATGAGCATATTATATCTTGAATTGTTTCAATATAAACGAAATATTGACAGAATTTTAATGTTATGTTTTGCTAATTAATGTCAGTCTTTTATACATAGAGTTAATAAACTGTTCATTTATAAAATGTGTGAAACTTAAGCGGGGCCCTGATATCTTAATTTATTAAACAGTTCACCGAAAATTTTATCCTCACTGTTTTTTAACGCATTGCTGAATGATATGTATAAGGAAGAAATAAAATGAAACATTGAAATGAGTGTTTAATTATAATTTGTATGTGTATTTTTTTTCTTCAAGAAATCACAAGAAACCCGTGTACAGTAATCCCGATTTAATTTATTACATGCAGTTTAGAAACAGTATATTATGACAATTCATATGAATAAAGAAAAAGCAACACTTACTGTTAATATTATAGACAAAATTAGCAAAAATATTGATCAGAATATGACAAAGTTCTGCTTGTGAATTTGATCTTCTAGCTAAAATAACCATTAAACTGTAGTACTACCAATAGAAGTACTCAAAT